TGGACCTTTAAAGAGTATTTCTAGGAAGTTTCAGCAGAATCCAAGTTTGAGCGATTTTCGTCGTAGTAGCACTTTAAATACACTTGGAAACGATATTTTCACATGTGAAATTATCAGTTTTTCGAAAAGGAGAAATATAGGTATTTTATGGATAATTATATGATAAAACCTGGTCTTCCAGGATGCTGTGCAATAATAAGCTTAGTTCCCCTGAAATGTTTGGCAACATATTTGGAATTCAAATCTTGTCAGTGATGATGCTTGTCTTAAATTTAATGGCAAATTTTTCCACAGTACCGCTCCGCTATAAGTGAAGCTTGTTTTAAAAATATTTGGTATGTGGGAGCAGAACTGCTAATTTATTCTCTGAATTTCTCAGGTCGTGTGTTGTGATGTCTTTTCGATTGATAAATTTAGAGCTAAGATATCCAGGTGTCTGGTTATACAGAGCTTTATACATTAAAATACAATTAACAACCATCTATATGGGCATCATAACCTAAGAAGGTAATTATTCTTGCAGCACACTCACTACAATAATTAAAGTGAGGTCGTACCAAGGCATTGTACACGATTAAGTGAGTTACACGAGGAACGAAGTACCTAATGCATTTCATTGCACTCAATGTTGGAGGTCAACTTTGTAACCTCCAAACGAACTAGAGAACTTTAACTTGTGAAAAGATATGATAAGACTAGTGTTAAGTTATGTTAAGAACCAAGATAAATTTTGAATAGTTATTGAAGTAGCATTTAATTTGGTAAGCCAAACCTTGATGACAGTTGCTGGTATATTTATGTTGCTGTTCTTGGAACCAGTTTCTTCATAACAGCTTCCTGCTGATACATTACACTTATAACCATTAGGACAGCAATGTGTACGGTCAGAACAGCACACAGCATTTGGTAAAGGACAGCAGCCATATTTATCATTGTTCATTAGACAGCAGGTGTAGTTATCAGGGCATTCTGATTCACCATCTGGACATACAACTGCTGTTAAGGCAGGTACCACACATGATGAAAGAAGTACACTAGCAATAATCAAGGTTGTCTGAAATAATATATAAGAAAAAATTAGTTCCAAACAACTGAATGAATAAAATATATGGAGGACATTAGAGTTTGATGTACAAATCCTATGAGAGAGGTTTTACGTAACCCATGCTATACACAAGAAAACAATGTAAAAATGATCTACTAAACTCTGTTAGAATGATTTTATGTACCCATAAAAAAATTAGTGTATGGTTAAGCTTGTTGTATGTTTTTCTTTTATGCACGGGGGTAATTTTTTGGGACCCATATATTCCCTTGCTTGTTTTGGTAATGGCTAATGAGCTAGGACAACACCTTTGCTGACTGGCTAATTAATTCACTCAGTCTGAGAGAAATGATGTATATCCGCGGTGGATCTAGGATTTTGAAAAATGGGGACATCATTGATCTGACATTAAGGATGAAAGACAATTTAATCATCATTCCAAGTCGCACTTCAACAATTAACGGTAAGTTTGATCCCATAATTGTCCTATTTCACTATGACGTCACTGCTTGTTTATGTGGGGGATAGAATTGCCAAATCCAATAAAAAAATTCAACAAAATTTGCTCCTAGTGAAACAGTTTAATCTAAAATGGCCTGGTTTTCAGATATAATATGTGTTAATATGTACTAAAAAATATTCTGAGAGTTTGCTGACTATTCTACTTCTCTTTGTGGATTGTTACGGGTTTTAGAACACTTTCCAGTTAATTCCGTCCTACAATCATGATCCTTTACGTTTAAACAATAGATTGTTGAAGATTGTTTTGATATGATGTCATATCGAAATAGGGCAATTCAAGTTGCCCAAATTGGGGCTGAGTACGTACACAATGTGACATGACCACACATGATCTGGCAAGGTGTCTGCTCCAATTGCATATTCATATTTTACAAGAAAATACATCTTTGACAATCCTCTAAGAAAAAACACCAAAATTGTGGTTGGAATGCAAAGCTTTAGTAATACTAAATAGCACAATTTCATGCAAATTCCATTGATTTCTATTGTTTAATTAGCACTATTTTGTACTAGTTAGTAATTAGTGTTTCACGGATTAATTGTTTGCACTCTATACCACCGGATTCAGCTTTTGGTTTAAGGAAAACTGAAGTAATAATATAAGCACACATAAAAGTACACATTTCTTAATGCATTTCTGATCCAATATAATAACTAAACATTTAACAGTCAAGTATTTTTTTCCATGGAAATCTGTATCACATGCTGCACGTTACGTCCAAATATTTCCGCTAGCGGACTTTCTAGTATAGGAGCTGGTTTACAGTTAACTGTGCTTACACTCGAAAAGACTCCAATACTTTGGCGACAAACTGCTCTCTACGTGCAAAAGCGTTGAAATTTTCTTTTTGTTTTAGAACACATGTAGATAAATAACTGTCAGGGTTGTGTAATTGTGATTAAAACTATGTAAACTTGGCTAGATATAAGTCAGAAGAGTTCCTATCAAAGTAATCTTAACTCTTGTACTGTACAAGAATGGAAAACTTTTATAGTACGGAAATTTGATTGGAAACGTTTTGAGCTGACTTAAAGTCTTTTTATGCACGAAATTAGAAATACACACTAGAAAATTAAACAAAGATGGGCTCACCATTGAAGAACTAGTAGCTAAGTAAGACTTCTTCATCGTTCTTGTGGACAAGAACAAGAGAAAATAATCTTCAAAGACAAAAGACCTCCCTTTGACTGAGCTCCTCAAAATAACCAGACGACCCAGGAAGTGACTGAGTGATAAGACCTCGTGATTTTTCCGTGATCCTCCTGTATTCTTTACTCTCCCATACCCCCTCCCCACAGTTTCTACATTGTCAAAATATTGATTCGATCATAAATATTATATGAAGTAAAATATCAAAATGCTTTCCTTAAAGTTTAAGTATGAAGTTATTAGTATTCAATATTTTGTACTTCATATTTTAATATTTTAGCACAGAACAATCCTTTGGCCATAACTAGGAAGTCCCTCACCTCCCCTCTCTCACTGTCTTTATAAATCAGCAGAATACACAGGAAACCCATTATATTTTCTTTGAAATACACAGGTAACCCAACCATTTGTTTATTGTTACATACCTAACGTCCGCCATGACAGTCTGAAATTTCCTTCTTCAGATCAGAGAAACATGGACAGCTATCGAGAAGAATGTGATCTTTTAGCAGACAAGGCTATAACTGTTGCTGTTATGAAACTGGGCAAAGATATATTGAACTCAAGAAATCTGTTTGCAAATATAAAACAGTTGTCTAAAGATGGCGTCCAGGAATGTATGAGTTACTTGGAAGTTTTTGAGAAAGAACCGCCTTGGACTGTTGATTGGGAAGCAATAGAAGCTGGAAGAAGGTTCTTCGTTCGCAATGCTATAATGGGAGGACTAGTATTGATGTATGGGAGTCTTGTTTCATCTTTTGCTGCAGCTAAAGGAAACAAGGTGATTATGGCTATGCCCTTTAGAACTCGATGCATAAGGGACATAAATTATCATAAATTAGCAGGGGAGGAGAAGAGGAAAGGGARGGTTGCTCAAGAGGGTTGATCATGTCAGTTAAATGGGAAAATTTTTTATGAAGCAGTGGAATATCTTATTCAAAGAAGGAAACTGCTTAGGATAAAGTAGTAGTAACTTTAGTAATACTAAATAGCACAATTTCATGCGAATTCCATTGTTTTCTATTGTTTAATTAGCACTATTTTGTAGTATTTAGTAATTAGTGTTTCACGGATTAATTGTTTGCACTCTAGGTCAATGATGGTTTGGCATCAACTTAATTATCAAAAACCAATAAATCTGTTTCCGTTTTGCTCACTTCATCTTGCCCATGCAGTAACATCGGCTTACCATAAACCACGAAACGAAACGAAACGACACAACAAAATGCGAAACGAGGATTTTGCATTTTACAGATCTTTAAAATGCGAAACCGTCATTTCGCATTTTACAGATGTGTAAAATGCGAAACGACAGACTGTAACCCGAGGCTTTGCGATCCCATGTTTAACTGTAAGCTTACTCACGAAATTAGATGAAAACTTTGTAGCTCCATGTCTTAGAAAATTAGAGATTACTTTGAATCTCAGTGGGAAGAACAGCGTAAACTTTCCATGTACCAAAAGCCACAAATCTATAAACTATATTGAAATACGTTACTTGTGTTGTTGTGGCGCCATTTTGAATGCACAGTTTTCATCCAACTTCGTGAGTAACAAAGCCTCAGGTTACAGTCTGTTGTTTCGCATTGTATTGTGTCGTTTCGTTTCGTTTCATTTCGTGGTTTATGGTAAGCCATAACATCCACAGTGATTATAGCAATAGGGTAAGTGTCTGTGTTTAAAGAATAACAATGTGCAGTTTCAGGAAATAATTTCATCTATTGCATTGACCGTTACTAACTTTCTTTAGCGTTTTTACACATTGTTTTTCTTTTTAGGAGTAAAAAACATTATTTGCCATGCCTTCCTGTACAAACAGGATGCAGGTACTTTTTAAGGGTCAACATCCCCACCCTTTGTAAGAGCACCACCACCACCCTGCTCCCCTGATTATGGATGCTGAAACTCACAGGAAGTGTAATAATTGATGATTATTTGCCGAAGGCGAAGTGAATATCAGGGAATATTAACCGAAACAAAGTTGAGGTCATTATTCCCGATATTCACTGAGCCTGAGGTGAATAATTGTTTTAGTATAAATACACAGGTGATTCTTTCAAAAGGAGGGGAAAAAGAAGATAAAAGACGCATTTTTTCCCGGTAACAGCAACAAAGCGGCTGGCCACCATTTTGGATAATCGCTGGAGGTGATTATCTTGTGATAATCTGAGTCTCTCAACCAATCAGCGTGCGAGATTTTCAATAATCACCTGTGCATTTATACTAATAAATAATGATATAAAGTACTACTTTAAAATATTCCCAGGTGTTAATGGCAACTAGTCGGCTAACAGGATATGGAGATGTGCGTCAAAGAGTTTTTGAGACTCTAGCATTTGTTAAGGTTGTCATGTTGAAAGACAAGGAAGCAATCAAAAAAGTATGTTGTAGAGTTAGACTTCTCCATGCAGCAGTCAGGTATTACATCACTCACTCCATGGACAACTGGGACTACAATGAAGTAATTATACTTTGTCTATTATTTTATTCTCATAATTATCTGTGTTTATCATTCATTCATTCATTCATTC